ATCACCGTCTTCTTGTTTAGTGGACGTTTGGCCTTGTGTTCTGCCTCCCTAGATACCCGTTTAAGGCTGCCCGGTCTTGCTGTGAGCGCTGTCGCCAGAGGCGCCGATCCGGTCAGCCTAATAACCCTCCGATAGCTGAGCCTTGATTGATATGACCCCGGCATGCATTCAACCTCGCTAGAAATCATTGCAACGCACAGTGCACCAATCCAGAGCTCCCTACTCATCGAGCTTGTAGCCGTGTATCGGGCGGCTGCGCGGAGGACCGAGAACCATGTCGCATTCTGAGATGTGAACAGCGCTTCCAACAGTCCGTAGTACGTAACCGTAGTACGTGAACGTAACTGTCACGTGAGCAGTAAGTACGTACTTGCTTTTTGAGCCGTAACTTACGGCTCACATCTCTGCCCCTACGTACCGTAGTACGTCTCAAAAAGTCGATATTTCCTAGCAATATAGACCCTGATTGGACATGTCTGGGGACGCGTTAGCAGCGTGTTTGAGGTTGCGTTTTTAAGTAATAATTGGGTGAAAACTCTAAGGTTTGTGGGATGTTAGGGGATGGAGATGTGGGATCTTATGCAAATAGTTAACTTTTTGCCCTGTTTATTGTCCTAAATCTATACTTGCCCATACTCCTGTCCATCATAAGCCAACAGATGTCCTAGTTCCTCCATCGTGGCAAGCGTACAGCCTCATCCCAGGGATCCTCCTAAGCCAGCTCCTCCCAGGGATCCTCTCAAGCCGGCTCCTCTCTGCAAAGTGAGGTATATCATCACGCTGGCTCTTGTTGCCTTGCTAAATTAAGGTCTACTCTATTGGAGGGTTCCCCAGCTCCTGGGGCAGAGGCCTTGTTAAAGGAGTTCCTAGGTAGTCTTAATGCTGGGGTCTCTTTCACCATTGAGTGGGACAACGTCTGGCTGGGGAGCAAGAAGCTAAGGCCAGAGAGACTTAGGTATCGCGTGAAGCACAAAAGCCAGCTCCGTGGCAATTGTCAGACCTCCTAGGTTTGGCTCCACGGCGCAGACTTGGTGTACGAGGACGAGGACAGCTTGAAGGTGAAGATTTGGCTCTGCAAGAGGTGCCACCTCCAGGGCAATCGCAGAGCTGCTAAAGTTATCAACAGGTATAACCATATTGTCTCTCATCTCGTCAAGGAGCACTAGGTTGATACCGCTAATCTCTTACCTAATAGCCCACGCCTTCCCACTAGTCCTTTTAAGGCCGCTTAAAGTAGTGAGGTAGCTGGATAGGGGTTAATACGATTAAGGCTCTGCAGCTTCAAAAGAACTGGCTACGTCATCGCGCAGTAGAGAGTGAATTAACGGCTCTGACAGACTATATTAGGAGGAAAACTCTAGCAGTTACGGCGTAACTTCTCGCGAGAAGTACAGCCGTAGGAGGATTGTGAGCCGTTACGGTTACGCTACGTAAGAGACTATCAATTCACCCGTAACGTACGTACGTACTAACAAACTGAGAAGTTACGGACTAAAAAAAGCTCAATCGTAACGTATTACGTACTGTTGGAAGCGCTGGATGTGAAGGATTTATTCGCCGACCCATTGGATTGCATACTGCTGTTGTATAGCTCCTCAGCAAAGTCTCGTCGCGTCTTGGTTGATATAAAGGTGGGCAGGGCAGCATCTCTAGAGACAAAGAGCGAAAAAACTGGTTCGTACTCTCTATTTGACCTAGACGTTAGTGCTGAAAAACCCCTAAAACATCCGAGTAGGGTGATGAACGTACATCCACGAGAATGGTTTCCTGGATTGGGACCATTGCCGTACAAGCTCCCGCTGGTGCTCTTCGCTCTCTTGCGTCCCACTGCCTCTCTGGCTTCGACTGCCTTTGTTCAATGTACGACTGAACTAGTGGGTGACGAACGCAATCATCTGTGGCACCCATAATTCCCGGAACATCTCCTCTAGGAACTCGGCCACACCACTCGGCCCTTTTGCCCGTATGCCGCCTAGCTCTTGGAACCACACATTGCTGTAACGGCTTGCTGCCACCTCTGACCCGTAGTGGAATGCGATGGACGCTACATGCATTAGCAATGGTCGGCCATTTTTACCCCGCGGCCACTGTGCGAGACTGAGCGTGCCACCGCCCTGGAGATCTAGCATTCGGGGATTGATGTATGGCCATGCCCCGCGCTCTATTCCATCTATGGTACCCAGAGGTTTGAGCACCGAACCCATCAACGACCTAGGAAACCCAGTAAAGCAGTAGCTTCCTAGCCGATCAAGCGCAGACACGCCTTCGGCCAAAGCAACGCCTAACCCTGTGGATCCAGTAGCCTCAAACCTCCTGCGCAAGTCATCAATTGCAAGCCCAAAAATCCTAGCAAAGGATCTAAGCACCCCAGGGAAGATGGACGGCTGGAAAGAC